AAATATTCACAAACAAATATTAGGTATTTTGAAATCAACAAATTATTCTTTTCCAGCTTAAATTCAACTCATTTTTCGCACTAGAAAAACGATTTCTTGGGTATTCTGATGAGGTAAAGCTAGCATAAATGAGCAATACGCTCTATAATCCCCTATTTTTGGCTAAAAGCCTTTTACAGAGAAGCTGTATTTCAAAAAAAAACCATTTAGGAATGGATCATCGTTCTTCCCTTTTATGAATTGTAGTTTTCTAGTTTTCCCAGCTCACTTTTTGCACTAGAAAAACAATTCCTGGTGAGGTAAAGCTAGCATAAATGAGCAATACGCTCTATAATCCCCTATTTTTGGCCAAAAGCTTTTTACAGAGAAGCTGTATTTGAAAAACTTAATTTTTTCGTCTCATCTTCTTGGCACTGAGTGTTTGCTAAAATAGGTGATTCTGAAAAGTTTAAATCAGATTAAATTTGTATTAATCAAAAGATTTTCCCTATTTTAAGTAGGTCCGATTTTAGGTTTTGAATGAGACCCATTGCCTATTCATTAACCCATTAAAAACTTGTCTAAAGGCTGGGCACTTAAAAAGTGACCAAGTCACTTCAGCTGAAGAAATCTCTTAGTTTTTTTTGTTCAAAACTTTTTGAAATATAGTCAAGTTTATTAAAAAAAAATCTGGTAAGAATTTATGGTTTCGTTTTTGAGAAATTTGATTGATTGATTTTGATTGATTTTGATTGATTTTGATTGATTTTAATTGATTTTAATTGATTTTAATTGATTTTAATTGATTTTAAGAGAGCAAACTTTTTCCAAGAACTTTCTTTCCAATCTAATCGTTAGTGTTGATCTAAATTCAACTCTTATACATTTTCTTTCATAATCATTTCACTTCAAAGCTTTAATCTTATTGTTTTCATTGATTTTAAGAGATTTTACTTTACTAACGATTAAGTTTCAATTGTAAATCATTATGCAAATTTACCGTATTTCTTCGAATAGAAGACCGGGTAAAGAGTATCATCGCGTACTCCTGCGTAGCAGCCCTTTTTATTTTTTAAAGAGTATCATCGCGTACTCCTGCGTAGCAGCCCTTTTTAAAATTTCTTTTCTGCATAAAAGCTTTCAATGAAGTGCTATAGAGCTGGAAAATGGCTCAAAAATACCACATGAGCTAACAGATTTTTGAGCCATTTTCCAGCTCTATAGCACTTGATTGAAAGCTTTTATGCAGAAAAGAAATTTTAAAAAGGGCTGCTACGCAGGAGTACGCGATGATACTCTTTACCCGGTCTTCTATTCGAAGAAATACGGTATTTCAATCTTTTTGTAAACTTTTATGATTTATAAATTTGCGAAAACTGAAATTCATTAATTTCTTATTCATTCTTATATCATAACTATTTCTTTTTTGTCTATAATTTTTCATCTTCCTTTTCCATCTTCCTTTTCCATCTTCCTTTTCCATCTTCCTTTTCCATCTTCCTTTTCCATCCTCCTTTTCCATCCTCCTTTTCCTTTTCCAATTCCAAAATCCTTTTCCAATCAAATCGAAATGAGTAAAAGATTAAAGAGAAAGAAAAATGAGAGAAGATTTAAAGGCATTCTTTTCGTTTCTTTAGCACTCAAAGATCTCAATGAAGTGTGATAGGCCACCGAATGATAAATGAGGTGAGGATTTGGCATTTTCTCTCTTTTTTTTGGGGTTTAAGCCAAAAAAGAGGGGAAAGTTTTGGATTTTTTTTTCTCAAACAATCACTTGATTTTTGACGATTCTTCAGTGAGGAGATTGCTTGCTTTTTGCTTGAAAAACTTGAAACACAACAACCAATTCGTTTTTTTTATGCTTAGCAAGTAAAAAGACTGCTTAGCAAGTAAAAAATAAAGATTTCCGTTCACTAGAATGTGGATTTTCCAAATTTTTAAGCACAAAGTAAACCTTCAAAGCCTTTTGTTCTTTATTTTCTTTTATTTCATTTATAATTGTCTGTCGAATCTGTCAAATTCTATCAAATTCTATCTACAATTCGATTAAATTTAGATAATTTTATAAGACTAAAGACTTACCGTAAATACTGTAGTAGTACCCCATCCCCCTCGTACAGTCGCGTAGTCGCAAAAGTTTTTTGAGTATTTCATTTTTTTTCAAAGCGCCCGTACTTCCAAAAAATGCGTCTTTGGTATCAAAAAATAGCCCTGAATTTCAGCTATTTTTTGATACCTAAGCCCGCATTGTAGCATGAACCAGTGTCGAGAAAATCTCGTTCAAAGCTAGACTACGCAACACTTCGCACCGTCATTATGGGGGTGGGGTACTATTACAGTATTTACGGTATTTAAAAAAACTAGACTTTATTAAAATTATTTTAAGAACCTTAGTCTTTATTGTCATTAGTCATTTTCATTAGTCATTTTCATTAGTCATTTTCATTACTCTTCATTTTCATTACTCCTCAAAAGATCAATCAATCAAATCAAATCAATAAATTCAATTTTGAAACTCACATACTTTTCTAACTTTGTTTTTAGTTTTAGAACTAATTAGACACCAAATCTTGTTAGAAAATGACACTTTTTTAGATCTCATACGCCAATAAACTCAAATTTTTCGTGAATCGATTTAAAATATCTTCATATATTTTAAATCGATTCCTTATTATTCAAATTATTATTCAAATCCTTATTATTCAAACCTTATTATTCAAATCTTCATATCTTCAATATTTTGAAAAAAAGTAAAAGAAAATTTATTTCAACTTTTTATATAATTTCTTCGATTCAAATTCTCTTTCCTTATTATTCAAATCTTTCCTCTTTAGTAAAGCTTTATATCTTTCTTTCTTTCTTTTCTTTCTTTCTTTTCTTTCTTTCTTTTCTTTGACCTTAAATCCATTTGAAAGCACCAAATTCCCACCGGAAAAGTTAAGCCAAATTTACATTTTCACAGCAGAATTCGTTTGCTTTTTATTTGAAAGTTTTCAGAAATGAAAATTTTCTCATACGTCTTGCTTTTTATTGGCCCTTTTCGTGTTATTTGTGTATTAAATCTTAAATCCAGCCCACTTTATCTCAGGTCCTGAATAAAGGATCTATATAAATGTCGTTTAGCCGTTTACGTTTAGCCGTTTACGTTTAGCCGTTTACGTTTAGCCGTTTACGTTTAGCCGTTTACGTTTAGCCGTTTACGAAATTCAGCCGTTAACGAATCATTCATTAACAGCTAGCCGTTAACGAATCATTCGTTAGCGGCTGAATTTCGTAAACGGCTACGACATACAGTACTGGACAATGAAATGAAATTGGATTTTGAGTTTGGATTGAACTCGCTAGGAAATGCTAAATCGGCTGAGCTACACTACTGGACAATGAAATCTCATATTTGAAAAAAGATCGTCACTTTCGCGCGTCTGTAACTCCCTTGTCTTTACCGTATTTCTAAATATTAATATTACCATTGCGTAGCCCTTGAAAAGAGCTTTCAGAAAATGTCAAACACTAATAGTTTAAACTCAAAGACAAGGGAGTTACAGACGCGCGAAAGTGACGATCGTTTTTCAAATATCATATTTTATTGTCCAGTACTGTATCATATTTTTTGAAGATTTAAAAACAGAAAACAAAAACGGAAATCAAACAAAATATTTCTATTATAGATTTGTTTTTTTTATTTCTTTTACTTTCCATAGTCACCTTTTTTCTTTTCTCAATTTGTTAAAGACAAAAAGAAAAAGGTGAAGCGACAATTATCCCGAGACTTTCCCATCGAAGAGCTTTTTTTTTGGGGTGGAAAAAGGAAAATTGGAGAGAGAAAAGAAGTGTCACATCTATAATCACCTAAAAGTTTTTTTTTCTTTCTTTTTCTTTTCTTATTTTTGAAAAAAAGTATCTCAACTAATTGGGATGGATTCTAGAAAGCGAAATCCTTTGGGAGGGGGAGTTTTAAGAAATACTTTCGATACGATCCTCACTTACTGTAAATTCATCTTCTTCATCTCTCATTGAGAAGCTTTTGAGTTCTAAACTTTGATTTTCAATTTCAATTTGAGTTTCAATTTCAATTTGAGTTCAAATTTGAATTGAAATCAAATGACTGACAGTGGAAATGCTTAAAACTTGAAATACTTAGCTTATTCTTTCTCCATAAAATCATAAGTACTAGATTTTCAAGATTAAAATGTACTACTAGATTGCTAGATTTTTCAGTTTTTCAGATTACTGAAAGCCTCTAAAGAAAAGTTTTTCAAAAGTGTTCTTTGAAAAGAAAAGAATCTTCTATTAGGTTGATGCAAAAGTCTTTTTCATTTTTTTCGTACTTCTTTTGAAAAATAACAAAGTCATCAATTAACCTATGGTTTGCTCTAAATGAAAAGTGTTTATTGTTCAATTTCCCATCTTTTTAAGTCAATTTGGGTTCACTTTCAAGCAAATTCGAGAGTGAAAACGGGTTTTTCATAAAAATCTATAAAAACCTCTATAAAGAAATTGGCTGAATCAATTTCTCTGAAAATCTGAAAAGATATCTAACTTTTTGTGCTCTATCTTTTATTTATTAACATCAAAATTGGTTTCCTTAGCTAAAGCGTCTAAAATGCATCATCGAGCCGTCGCCTTTTTTGACTACCCGACTTCAGGCTCTCAAAAAAATCTAGACATAAGACATTTTAAACTCGTTTTAATGTCATTTTGCAGAAAAATAATTGGCCTTTCGAATGCAATAAACCGTTGTTCAATTGGTGCATTTGTTACTTTTTAACGGAAGTACGAAAAAAATGAAAAAGACTTTTGCATCAACCTAATAAATTGATAGAAAATACCTTTAGAAAATATCTTTAGAAAATAGAAAATATCTTTGTCGATTTTTCTCTTTTACTTTGTCATCCTTTTGCATTCATTTCTATCACATTTGTAACATTTCCTTCTACCAGATCTCTTTCAATGAGCATGGGCTGATCGTCACCTCTCTGATGTGTCTTTTGAGAGGCGTTTACCATTTCTTCTCAATTTCAATGCTCATTTTTGTGTCAAATCTCCCGTTCGTTTCCCTATCACAATTCCCGCAAGTTCACGAATCGGAGATCGGATACATTTACGATAACTCGATACCGAGTGCTGGTGAGTTAGAGGAAATTGGAAATGCGATTTTCTAACACGAATCCTAGCAGACCAGATTCTAAATTAGGTCTAAAGTTTAAAGTTTTAAGGTTCAAAGTTAGAGCTTTTACTATTAGAGGCCAAGGAGAGGTTAGGCTGGGTGAATCCAGGTCTGAATCCTAGGCTGGGTGAATCCAGGTCTGAATCCTAGGCTGGGTGAATCCAGGTCTGAATCCTAGGCTGGATGAATCCAGGTCAAACAAGAAGGCAAAGACAAAACGATTGCTAAAAATTATTAAAACAAAAAGGTTCCCAAAGAGTTAACACTTGAAAATTGAAAATGAGATCTCAATTTTCAGACACAGCTCGTTGTTTCTCGTGCATGTCGCGACTATACGAGGCGATCTGGCCAGTTCTAGCAAATATTTATAAGGTGAGATCAAGCTTTTACTATTAGCTGAGATAAATAAATGAGAAAAACAACTTTTAGAAGCCGCGTAATTTCACGGACGAGTGCGACGACGATTCTCTTGATCCGTCAAGGGTTCCCGTTGTGAATTGTCCGACGATTTGCGTTTCAATGGTCGAAGAGCCAAACATTGCAGGTAGGCATTTGAACAAGGGTTCGGGATTTTACTATTGAATGAATTTTGAGTCTTAACATTGCATTGCAATGTTAAGGAACTAAATAGGAACTATAAAGGAACTATAAAGGAACTTTAAAGGAACTATAAAAGAGCTATAAAAGAACTTTAAAGGAACGATAAAGGAACTATGAAGGAACGATAAAGGAACTAAATAGGAACTATAAAGGAACCATAAAGGAGCCATAAAGGAGCTATAAAGGAACTAAATAGGAAATAAATAGGAACTATAAAAGAACTTTAAAGGAACTATAAAGGAACTTTAAAGGAACTATAAAGTGTTAACACCTGAAAATTGAAAATCAGATCTCAATTTTCAGCTCTTAAAATCTCTTAAAATCTTGAAAAAAGCCTAATTTGTAGGCGTTCGTGTTCGAGGATTCATCCGGGGATGCATGAACGATGTGTTGATAGGCGGTTTCAATCAAACGGTCGTTGGATGGTTGGTTAAATGTAGAAAACAAAAACAAAAAAACACTTTCAACATAAAACTGTAAAAGCAGGAAGAAATCAATGTCATTCTCAGGTATCGTTGGATGCATCGAGACTCGTGCCGACCCTATCGAAAGAAGGAACTTTTCATGTTGCCTGGGCCATCTACCGACGATTCGCAGGTGAGAACAAGAGGCTTAACTTGCGAACTTGCGAACTTGAGAACTTTTCCCCAATAGTTACTATAAAGAATACTAGGCATTGATGCTACAAACTACAAACCCTCGTAGAAACCCGTAGAATAGAGATTTTTCAAATCTTTTTTTTACCAAAACTTTCAAATGACATCAAAATCGAGTTAATTCATCATTTTTATTCCGAAAATGAGCCATTTATAGACGGACGAGACTACAAACCTGGAAAAAACGTTATATTTCAGCGTTGAGAACATGATTTGGCTGATGTTTAAGTAGCACAATGGTTTAACAGGATGTAGAATTTGTAGCAAAAATACAGCCAAGTCAAGGGCAAAATTGATCCCAAAAATTTGGGCATAGTCACGGTGAGAACGGTAAAAATGGCTCAGTCGATCCTTTCCCTTACGGATTAAAAAAGGGAAGCTCTTACATCGGACGGGTTTGCCAGATGGTGAGCGAATGTGATTGATGCTGCTCCAACTGCCGTTCTCACTGTTGTCTCCTTGTCCCGGATCGAAGCGATGGAGTCGTTGTTGCAAGGAGCCATTTAATTCCTAGTGAAAATCTGAAGAAGATGACCATCTTGTGTGCCGATTGAGTCTTGAGTAGAGACTTGAGTAGACCTACTTCAAAATGGAAGCACCTTGTATCGCGGCGGTTTGCCAGACGCTGAGCGATTGTGCGCGCGCACAAAGAGCACGGCGGCAGTCATTTACATTGGGATTTTGCTTTGTAGATGGCACAAAAATAAGATTTGTAGCTGTAAATTTGTACCCTGAGGTTTTTGGGGTCGGGAAATCGATTAGAGATGTTCATTTTATTGAGTCGACTATTCTAGCCAATTCAGCTGTAAATTTGACCATTTATACCGGAATTTTCGGCTAAATAACATTTGCATTTGCAGATCGAAGTGTGCACCTGCTATGCGGATCATTGTAACGGTAGTTCATCATCTTCAAATCGCTCGCTTCCCATTTTTTCCTTTATATGGATCGGCCTCTTTTTGATGCTCAGGTTATGAATGAAAACGCCTAATTTTCTCATTTATTTCTCATTCGTTTAGTGATACTTTTTTTAAAGTGTTTAGGCATGACTTTTCTTTTAATTTCCCAAGCCCAATCCGTCTTTCAATAGGAATTTTAAAGCTTTTATTATTTTTAAAAAAAACTATTTTTTTTCTTTTTTCGAAATTTTTCTAACAGCAATACTTTGAACACTTTTATGCAATATTTTTCTTTTTTTCTTTTCTCTCAGCACTTCTCTCAATTGATTTCATTGATTTTACGGGTGTTTTTCTATATTTTCGAAGAGTGGAATAAATATTTGAAAAGAAAACGCGGTTTAAAAAAGAAACTAATTATTACTCCTTCATCGTCATCTTCCCTTCACCACCAAAAAAGCTATTTAGTTCCCCATTGAGCTTAGGGTTAGGGAGCCGTCTGTCATGACGTGGGTTAAGTTAAGATATAGCCTAGTATTGTGTGTGTCGTTGTATTTTGATTGATATATTTCGTGTATGCGATAAATTCACCAATGGTAGCCCCAGTCGGTATTTTTTTAATTAGGTTTTTGCATATGAGTTTTTCCTCGGATTTGTTTGTTTATTTCTTGCTTAAAAGTCACTACCGAAAAAATAACGATCTCTAGTTAGATCAGACCAGGTTTAGGTCTAGCTTCTGGTGAACTTGGGAGTTTTTTTTGAATCAGAACCTGAATGAAGCCAAATAAGGTCAGAATCGGGCTTCTTGATCTGGCCTAGTTCTGGGAAATTCCCGTTAGAACAATTCGAGCAGCAGTTGCGTGTCTAGTAACTTTCTCAGGACATGGTACACTTGTCATTGTATTTGGGAGAAAGTAATGCGATCAATTTCTACTTAACTACTAATTTCTACTAGTAACTTTCTCAAAAGACGGTACACTTTGAAGTCATTCTATTTGCAAGAAAGTAATGCGATCAATTTCTACTTAACTGAAAAAGTAAATTATATCGTAAGTAAAGGAAATAATTCAGCAACAAGCAACTACTTTCAAGTGTTCGATACATTCCAGAAAAGCATTTGACAAAAAGCATTCAAAAACATCAGGGAAAAGATAGATAAGTACAAGTTATACGTACATATCATTGTTGGGTAATTTCTTCCACTCGTGAATTGATCACTCGTTTAATCTTAAGTTTAACTTAAGTCAGTCCACAGAAATGCTGCAAAAGATCAATTCACGAGTAGAAGAGCTTACCCAACAATGATACAAATAACTTGTACTTATCTATCTTTTCCCTGATGTTTTTGAATGCTTTTTGTCAAATGCTTTTCGTTTTCAGGACTTGGCTTGGCTTGGTCTGACTTAAAGATCACTTCATTTCACACAAATGCTACAAACGATCAATTCACGAGTGGAAGACTTAAAGCCAAGCCAGCTCAGAAGTCAGCTCCGGTCATAGCTTTTCACAGATGCAGAAACTGCAACTAAAACCTGCAATAAAGCTAGACCAGGATTTGATCTGACCTTGGAGTTTTGATTTGAAACATTTGAAACATCTCTCAAAGCGCATTCAAACTTCTTGAATAATGTGAACACTTTTATTGGAAGCTCATTGAAGCTTTTTCCAAATCCATAAATATTATATTGCTTGATTGTTGCTAAATTTAATCCAAAAATTCATTTTCTTAAGGGCACAGGGCAATAAAAGAAGGCATTTTGGACACCCAAAAACGGATCCATTTATGATGCAAGGGTAAAGAAATAAAAGAAAAAGATGGGAAAAGATGAGCAAAGAAAATCAAATTAATGTCATCACAGATGGGAATAGAAGATGGAAGAGATGAGGGAAAAAATAGAAAAATTTTGTGAATGATGAGATGGGAGAAGACCCCAGAGATCGGTTTTGCGTTCAACAAATGTTTGTTTGAATTTTTTGATTATCATAGTTTTGTTGCTTTACAGTAGACTATTCAAATTCTTTTTACGAGTGTTTTTTCTGTCTTCTTTTTGATTATCATGGCTTTAAATCAGGCCAGAATCAGGCTTCTTGATCTGGCCTAGTTCTGGGAAATTCCCGTTAGAACAATTCGAGCAGCAGTTGACCTACCGTAAATACTGTAATAGTACCCCAGCCCCATCGTACAGTCGCGTATGATGAGATGGGAGAAGACCCCAGAGATCGGTTTTGCGTTCAACAAATGTTTGTTTGAATTTTTTGATTATCATAGTTTTGTTGCTTTACAGTAGACTATTCAAATTCTCTTTACGAGTGTTTTTCTGTCTTCTTTTTGATTATCATGGCTTTATTTCTTTACAGTATAGTTATTCAAATTCTTTTTACAAGCATTTTCTGTCTTTATCAACTTTTCAAGTGCTCTAACAGCAATCGTTCGATTGCGAGGCAAAGAAAGCGTTTTGAAATCCCTGTTCAAAGATCAGATTGAGCTAGAATCAAGTTGTCAAACAAGGATTTTAATATAACAGTTTAAATGGTTATTCAGCAAGGTTCGTAAAGTTATTTTTAGACTTATTTCTTTGTCTAAGATTCATTTTTGTGTAAAATTGGCTCCAAAAGAGCGGAAAAATCACTTGTTTCTTCAACCACCCACTCAAATATGAAAACATCATATTTATTTTGATTAGAAAGTTGATTCTTTCTTTGTTTTATTAAGATTTTGACAATTTCTGATTTTTCTGATCATTGTTAATAAATCGCTTGTGTTTTTTTTTTGTTTTCTAAATAAATATTAGTTTAATATGTTAATATTAGTTAGTTTTAACCAGGGCGTTCACTAGCGGCCGCACTATCGAGATCTTTTAATTTAAAGGCTTTAAAAAAGAACAGCGAAAACCTATTTCGGATAACTGCAAGTAAAAATTTTAGCTGCAAGCAGTTGCATCGTGTAGATTTTGAAAAACCAATAAAATATACGTGCTTCCCATAATCGATTACCGCTGGGTGAAAGTTTTCAGCAAGAAAGGCAAACATTTGCACCAAGGGGATTCGAACCCTTGACCGTCCGCTCGCTCGGCAGTCCCTCCTTTTAACCCCTCAACCATGAAAAGCGTGACGGACGGACGCGTTAGACTTTTATATATATGTTGTGTCCGATTTAGATTTCCGTCCGATTTTGATTGAACTTATCGCGGACGTCCGATTTAGATTACAGTCTATATCGGACGTCCGATTTAGATTCAATCTAAATCTTATATAGATTGAACAATAATATAAACATGCCTAATATATGTTCTTAAGCGTTTTCTGTAGTTTTCTGCATTTTTTAAAGGTCTTTTATTGATTACAGTCTATATCGGACGTCCGATACAGATCGAACAATAATAAACGTGCTTAATATATGTTCTCGGTTGTCTGTGATCGGTTGTCCGTGAACGTTTTTAGACAAGCTATCAAGCACATCTATATAAGATTTAGATTGAATCTAAATCGGACGTCCGATATAGACTGTAATCTAAATCGGACGTCCGCGATAAGTTCAATCTAAATCGGACACAACATATATATGTCGTAGCCGCTGGTGATTTTCAGCCGCTAGTGATTGAATCACGATCGGCTAGCCGATGGTGATTGAAAGTTTTTTTAATGAAACATTTGGAATACAATGCAGATTTATCTCACGATTACAATGCAGATTTATCAAATAAAAAACTTAGGTTAATAGGACCAAATGTTTTAACACTTCGGGAGGTAACTTCCGTTGTCAAATCTTTTTAAAAAGATTTTTCGAAAAATTTTTTAAAACAATCCACTCATTCCATCTTTTAGACACAAACTATTACTTTCTTCGGTGTTTAATGAGTAATAATTTTTATTTTAAGTAATAGTTGAGTAATAATTTTTATTTTAAGTAATAGTTGAGTAATAATTTTTATTTTAAGTAATAGTTGAGTAATAATTTTTCAATCGTTTCTTTTTTCGATTTATCTCGTGTATCGTTGCAACTTTTCTAGTTATTTTTTTAGAAATGGAAAGTAAATTTGTCGATCACCTTACGCAACATCAATCTACGAAGAAATACAATTGGATTCCCGATGTCACAAAAAACGCCGAAATAGTGAAAACGATCAAACGAATAACCAGTGAAGATAAAAAAGGAAAAAGGACTCCTGAAGAAATAAATTTGTTGGCGCGCTTTACTTTGCAAAAAGAGAACGATCTGGACATCATCTACAACATTGGAAGAACTGGAGAAATGAAACGGGTGATCATCAAGGAAAATCTCTTTGAACTGTTGATGAAAACACACAAGGATCATGGACACCCTGGAAGGGACATAATGTGGAAAGCACTAAGGGAATATCATGGAATATCGAGATTTTTGTCAAACTCTGTTCTGCATGTGAATTGAAGAAAGGCACGCCGAAAAAAGGAGTCGTTGTCAAGCCAATCATCACCAAACAACAAATCGAGCGGGCCCAAGTGGATCTGATCGATTTGCAATCAGTACCAATCAGTAAATGGTCGATGTGTATGCCACAAGTCGAACGTTTTGTGCAACAGTCGACGTCACAACAGCAATCCCTGCTCAAACAAGTAACATTTAATTTTTAGTTATTTTTTAGTTAAACTTGATTTTGTTCTAGCATTTTGTTGTGTTGCACCTCAGGGAAGTTGTTAATTAATTTTTGTTGTTGTTAAGCTTGTTTGCTTATTACATGTTTGCAATAAATTGTTGAAAAGTGAATAAAACTTGCAATTCATAAAGCAAAAATATTAAGCAAAATTTACTTTCATTTAGATGACATAATTTTTCGAATTTGGCAACAGAAGTTACCTCCCGAGGTGTTAAAATATTTGGTCCTATTAACCTAACTTTTTTATTTGCATGTGAGATAAATCTGCATTGTATTCCAAATGTTTCATTAAAAAAACTTTCAATCACTAGCGGCTAGCCGATCGTGATTGAATCACTAGCGGCTAGCCGATCGTGATTCAATCACTAGCGGCTAGCCGATCGTGATTCAATCACTAGCGGCTGAAAATCACGAGCGGCTGCGACATATATATAGATACGAAAT